CCGCAGCATAAATGGCTGCCTACTGCTCCGGGTATGTGTTCACGGTGTGTGTGTTCACTGGATCGCCGGATCGGCTATCACCGTGGACGAAGCGGAGTCCATGTGGTTGACACTGTGTTTCGTTGTGAAAGCTTCGAAAAATGGACACGACTAGAAATCAGTGATTAAGTTGTATTTACAACACTGTTCCAGAACACTTCAACCCAAATATTCAGATGTGCGTTTTTTATATTTAAAGAGTTTTTATATTTTATATATTTAAAGCGAGTTTTTTGAGCAGTGTAGAGTAGGGCTTGTTGTTTGTCATTTCTCCGATCACAAATGCAGATATGGTTTTATGTTTACGCGGCGCGATGCAACGCAACGTGTAAAAAGACAGTATAAGTCATTATAATCCATAATTATGTCCCCACTGGATGCAACGAATGCCTCGTTTATAATGGGTTTTCATGTTTTTGAATCATCGCTCCGGCCGGACAGGGCATCACAATATGGTAGGGGCGTAACATTTCCGTCACACGCTTGAGGTATTCGGCCAATCACAACGCACTGGATAGCTGGCCAATCACAGCACACCTCGCTTTTTCAGAACGAAAAGCGTTTCAGAAAGGCGGGGCATAGAGGAGAAACAATAATGTACAGTATGTGGAAAATAATGTGTTTTTTGAACCTTAAACACCTTAAACCCATTTCATTACACCAAATACACAAAATAATGTTCTTTTTAGCAGCATCATATGACCCCTTTGACCCCTTTTTTCTGTGTGACATAATGGTCGACCATTATGTCACACAGAAATATTCTTAAGTCGGTTTACTCATTTTATCTAATATAGCAGCATTTGATGCTTTTGACAGCTTAATTTATGCATAGTTTATGCATTTAATCTAAATGCAATAATCTATGTGAAAAGTGTGTGCAGGATCCACATCATCCATTTGATTAAATATTAAATAAGGGCTAAGAAGACAAATATTAGACTATTTATCTTACTGTACTGACACTGACAGATGAACACAAAAACTTGAAAAAAAATGAATTGAGCTTAATAATAACATTTTACAGCTGAAATGTTGATAAATGTTTGCAACATTAAAACTGTTATTTTCCTGTCCATTACCTGTTTATTTTATTATTTTTCGTTTATTAGAGAAAAAATCTAAATTGTATGAAGTGTAATATAAATGCAACTTGACTATACATTTTCTCAGTGTCAGATGTAGTACAGTATTTCACTGTACAGTATCTTAAAACCATCAGAAATCTGTTTTTCTTAATATGGTTTACATTGAACATCTAGTAGAGACTCAAAACAATACCAAAATTACAATAGAAAATGTAATTTTTGAAGATTTCATGCTCTTGGCAGCCAATAATTCATCACACAACACAATGTTCAAAAGAAACTTTTAATCCAAGTAGCAGATGAATTTGGGAAAATACTGTTGAGTTTGATTGGAAGATATTGCAGACATTTTCTGATTCCTTTTAAAAATTGTATATTTATTTCGCTAAGCTAAATATGTAAATATGCATATTTATGCATTTTATTATTTATTGCATTTAGCCTTGTTTTTCCTTCTGCCAACAACCTTATTTCAACACACATCTAAATAATAAATAATTAATGATAATTAATTAAATTAATAGTACAATATGTGTGCTATACTGAATATTTACACCATTTTGTGCAATAAATGGAAAAATTGAAAATTTTAAATATGAATATATAAATATATTAATTAATATATAATAAAAATATATTCTAGAAAATAAAAATACATGTAAATTAATAATGTACAAATTATTAAGTCTAATAAAGCATTACAAAAATCTCCCAAAAATGTGTGAATTAATACAAAAAAGAAATTAAGCACTACATATCTTGGTGAAAAAACCCTGAGTATTTTTTGTTTACATATTAAAAATGTATTTTATTTCAATTCTAATAATTAAAATGTTGTTTTTATATGGCTAATTGCATTTTATTATTTGTATTTATACAAATTTGCTTGCAGTGCAATCCTATCAGAACACACAGCTAAATAACATTTGTAAATATTAACTAACCAGCATCTCCTTATTCCTTATTCATAGATGTGTGGAAGTGCCACTGTCGCTCAGCGCCGCCACATCGGACTCCAGCAGTTAGAGACCATAGCTGCCACCACACATGGCTTTCTGGGTCCCAACAAACGACCCAAGTTGTTCCAGGATGAAGATGCCGGCGATGCGATGTTGGTTTGCTCCTGTTCACATCTGCTTGAGTGTATCGAGCTGGACGGCTCAGTCGGACAGCTGCTGCTGCAGACGGTACAGGCCCAGCAGAAGCTCTTCCACTCCAGGACGGCCGCGCTGGTGTTTCTGGCTGGAGTCTGGAGTAGAGTTGCATTAGAGTGTCTAAACAGAGGAATAACTGTGTTGGATATCAAAACAGCCATGAGGAAAGGACTGGAGGTGTGTTTGGAGGTATGCAAACAATCGGCTCTAAGTGTGGAAGAAGTTTCTCGCCAGAAACTAAAGGACTGCAAACCATCAAGCCATCAGCCACCGATGCGACTCCTCCATGCATTTAGTTTTAAAAGAACGCAAGTTGCAATCCAAAAACACAGAAAATGCACAAAACAGATCTTTGGATATTCAAAAACTGGTCACGTGCCTCATTCCAGGCCTGTCTGAGGAGTTTCATGGCTTTGTCACGTTGCTCACAGTCGAACAGGCCTCTGTGGTTCGACGCCTTCAGGGTCAGGCATTAAATATCGCTTTGGTGAATGGCGATTTGTGCAAGAAGTATCGCCACGTGGGTTTTAACAAGCCTGGGAATGTCATGCACATCACGGATCGCGCTAACATGTCTGGCGTGAGTCTGGAAGAGCTTTTGATTGAGGATGCATTAAGAAAACTGCATGAATTCAGCATAGATGTTGTGCTTGTGAGCAGCATGGCTGGTGTGAAACTCAAAGATCGAGTTCTTGGTACAAACGTCCTGGTTATTGAAGGTGTTAAAAGCAGTGTTTTGAAGGACTTCAGCACATGCACAGGCGCTCTTCTGATTTCGTACGTCACACAGATTGACGAGAACTGCGTGGGACAGGGAGTTACAGTCAGTCAACAGAGAGATTTCAGTAGAAAAAAGGATTTCGTCGCGGTCAGCATTGTGACTGCAAGCACGTCTCTGGTCACGGCGGTCATAAGCAGCTCTGTATCTGCTAAACTGCAAAGCTTGGAGGATCAGTTTTGGAGCTGCGCTCATCGGTTGCACCAAGCTCTTGCAGATGGGAAGTTGCTGCATGGCGCAGGAACCACCGAACTCCTTTGCATCCAGCAGCTTCATCAATCTAAACAGACAGACATGGAAAACCCACAGGAGAGTGTGGTGCTGGAGCTGATGGCCGAAGCCTGGATGGATTATGTCTCCACTTTGATGATGAACAGCAGGTCGGTGGGGTCTAAAGCAGAGGCTTGGACGGCTATTGCACATCAGATGAGACTTTATAAAGATGGAGAAGCCATATCGCGGGATGCAGATGGAGCTGGTGTATATGATAACGTAACTGTGAAGTCTGAAGCCTGGAGGAGAGCTCTTGATCTGGTGTTTCTGGTGCTTCAGTCTGACACCGAGATCATTACAGGTGTCAGTGAAGGAGAAAATGTTTACAGGGAGCTCATGTATCTTTGATATCTGAGGCCATTTAGTTCTATTGATCCCAGGTGTGTCTCGTCATCCCCTCGTCATGTCATGTGTATAAAAAGTGTTCCCTGTTCTTAGTTCGGCGTTCGGTATTGTATATGTCAACCTCTCCTGCTACGTGTGTTTTCCTGGTTCACTTGGTTCACTTGTTGGATTAATAAAGACTCCTTGTTGATGTACTCCACGTCTCCTCGTTCCTCGCTCTGCGCTCCCTCACAGTAGCGAACGTGACACATGACAGGTATAATTAAAATACGCAAATTCCTTTAGCGCACATTTCAGTGCAATGTTTTTACAGATTTTTAAACCGTGTATACAATATAATTATGTTTAATTAAGCTGAGATATAGCACTATAAATTCTTAATTAATTTGCAACAAAACTATAAAGTTTTGTTGCAAATGGATGAAGACATTAGTAGGCTTCTCAGCTCAACCCTCAACATGCACACATTCGGAGTTTCGGCAGCCCAACACTGAATATTATATTGAGGGTGATGTATTTTGATTAATAAAATAAAAATTATTAAAATTACAATACAAAAATGAAATTTAAATTACCCTGCTTCTAAATAAATAAAGCAGTTATTTTTATTTTGTTAAAAAAGGGCCAAAAGAGATCTCCGAACTAGTAGGCTACCAGAAAGGCGGGAAAAAAATAGGGATATTCTATTCAAGACATTATTATATGACATCAACGTGCATTTAATTCTTACAATCACTGCCAGAATGTCCAGCTTCACCATGATGAACTTAAAATTGGGTTCTATTATTTTTCCTCAACAGTTCTCCTCACAAAACGAAATAAGTATGTGTGTTAAATAAATAATGTATAATAGTTATGTGTGTCCATCTAAGTGTTCATGAGATGGATTGCCTGAGGGAAGAAACTGTTCCTATGCCTGGCAGTTCTGGTGCTCAGTGCTCTGTAACGTCGACCAGATGGCAACGGTTCAAAGAGGGAGGGTGCTGGATGTGAGGGGGTCCTCTGTAGTCTTCTGAGTTCATATTTGGTAGCTGAGCTGAACCAGACAGTTATTGAAGCACAGAGGACGGATTCAATGATGGCGGAGTAGAACTGTTTCAGCAACTCCTGTGGCAGGGTGAACTTCCTCAGCTGGCGAAGGAAGTACAGCCTCTGCTGGGCCATTTTAACAATGGACTCAATGTGATTGTCCCACTTCAGGTCCTGAGAGATAGTGGTGCCCAGGAACCTGAATGTCTCCACTGTCGTTACAGTTTACAGTGCTGTCCATGATGGTGAGTGGGGGGAGTGCAGGGGGGTTTCTCCTGAAGTCCACAATCATCTTGCTCATGGAGCTTGACAGTGGGGTCTTAAGAGGTGCAGTCATTGGTGTAGAGAGAGAAGAGCAGTGGGGAGAGGACGCAACTCTGGGGGTAGGGCTGGGTGATATGTCAAAAATATCTTATCGATAATCACCTATAAAAATATTGCGATATCCGATAATATCGTCTACCTAAGCCCCACCTCCACCACGCCCCGCCCCGCCCCAGCCGAGACAACATTGCCGACATGCACCTTAAATACACACCATGTTCAGATTGGTCTTAATTATTGCCACATTAAAGTTTGTTTTTACTATTCTTAGTTTGTGCTTAAACTAACAGAAAACAATACCTTTGCTGTTATGTTGGTGTTGCTAACACCCCGCCGAGACAACATTGCCGACATGCACCATAAACACACACCATGTTCAGTTTGGTCTTAATTATTGCCACATTAAAGTTTGTTTTTACTATTCTTAGTTTGTGCTTAAACTAACAGAAAACAATACCTTTGCTGTTATGTTGGTGTTGCTAATAATTTCCACTCTGTTCTTATCAAATTTGTGTTTGAAATTAATTTTGATTCCGAAGGACAGATTGCCGATTCAAGGATGAAATGAGGAAATTTTTTTGTTTTGTTCAACAGAATCAAATTATAAACAGGTTAGATCGGTTAACAAAAGAAGTGCTTAGTAACACAAACTCGAGGCTTTAGGAACTCACAACAGTCAACCAACACACAGGCTCAACAATCACATGCTGGGGCAGGAGGAAAGACTCTCTCAACTTCCTGGCTTTCCACCTCAGCTTTATCCACCAGTTCCTATCTCGTCAACAAATCAGGTCACCTTACACTTGATTCACACTTTAGTCTGCATTACCATGAGCTCGAGACAGTGCATCAGCTACATTTTCTACCCCCTTTTTATACCGTATGTCCAGATTGAACTCTTGAACAATGAGGGACCACCTCATTGTAGCGAATCAGCTCAAGGGGAAATATGAATAATTAATCATAACTAGTTATAATTAATTATAAATATTTAGATCCGCTGTAAGTATTTACTTGACCTCTCAGGGTCAACCGTCTGTTAATTCTAAGAACGTTAATTTCCTGGTTAAGGGAAATAACTTTCTTACTGTACATTCTACACAGAGCCTGTATTGTGTGTTTGATTGGTCCAGACGCTACATCATTAACCGCTGGTTGGAATTTGACATACGTGAAAGAAAGACCAAAGGGTTTTGATCTGTATAAACCACTATTGGACTACTACTGCCATAGCCTAGGTAGACCTCAAAATGCTGCAGAGCCAGCAATAATGCAAGGGCCTCTTTCTCGATGGTACTATAGTGTTTCTGGCATCTTGAGAACTTATTAGAAAAATAGCATATTGGGTGTTCAATGCCAAAGCTATCCTCCTGTAGGAGCACTGCACCAGCTCCATGAGCACTAGCATCTACCTGTAGCTTGAAGGGGGGGTGAACTTAGGGGCAGACTGGAGCATTACACAAAAGATCCTTGGCTGCCTGAAAAGCAGATTTACACTCAGGGCTCCACACAAACTTACATTCTGTACTCAAAAGGTCTGTTAGAGGGAAAACTACTGAAGCAAATTTTTTTTGCAAAACCCTCGGTAGTACCCAGCCATCCCAAGAAAACGGCGTAACTCACGTTTCTTCATGGGGAAGGGAAACTCAATAACGGCAGAAACTTTGGCTTCAACTGGCCTTACCTGGCCCTGCCCAACTAATTTTCCAAGGTGTGTGACAACTGCCCTAGCAAATTCACACTTAGCAAGGTTTAGCATTAAAGAAGCCTCATTCAAACTCTTTAACTGATTCCAGGGTTCTTATATGATTTTCCCATGTCATTGAATAGATTACAATGTCATCTAGGTAAACTTCACAGTTCTGTACTCCTGACAAGACCATCTGCATTAATCGCTGAAAGGTGGCAGGAGCATTTCACATTCCGAAGGCCATAACAGTATAATTAAGGAAGTTGTCAGGGGTAACGAATGCAGAGATCTCGCTGGCATGGGGTGTTAAGGGTATCTGCCAGTAACCTTTTAAGAGGTCTAACTTGGTGACATAACGTGAATAACCTACCCTGTCTACACAGTCTTCCATTCTAGGGAGGGGAAAGGAATCAGGTTTTGTCACATTGTTCACTTTACGGTAGTCAGTACAAAATCGCAAGGAGTTATCTGACTTGGGAACAAGAAGGCAAGGAGAATTCCATGGACTTTGACTGGGTACAGCAAATCCATGTTGCAACAAGTAATCAATGTCATTTTTCTTTAGTTGCCGTTTGTGTGGGTTTACAGATGCCGTTTATAGATGCTGCTTAATGGGTGGACATTTACCAACATCTATGTCATGACTTAAGACAGTGGTTTGGGACAGAACATCATGGAACAGTGCCGGATACTTCCTGATCAGCTTAACAATACTACCATGCTGATCGTCAGGTAAAGTAGAGAGGTACAACTTCAAATTGGATAAGAAAGCAGAATTTGGCAATCTGCCACAAGAGATTTGAGCATTTCTGTCCACTAAGCCATCGGCTTCTGGGGTATATGGGCAGTTAAGTACAGCATCCACTGACACTGGGTTAACAGGAACAACAGGCTTTGCCTCATCTCTTGATACATTAGCCTTTATAAATATGCTAAATATGCCTTTACCATATTTATGTGACACATCCTGCTTTTGCGACATCGATCAGGGGTACGGATAACATAGTTTGTGTCGCTCAGCCTTTTGTCAATCACATATGGACCAGAGAACTTCGCCTGCATGACTGAGGAACAGGAAGTAGTACCAGCACAGAGTCACCTGGTTGAAAACGGCACACAACACTTTTCTGGTCATAACGTGTTTTCATTTTTGACTGGACTCCACCAAGATGGACCTTAGCAACATCCCAAGCCTTGTGAAGCTTCTCACGAAAAGAACTCACATACTTAATTGTAGACACAAGTGGGGAGTTTTTGGTAAGAAACTGCTCACTTAGTAGTTTCAATGGCCCACGCATTGCGTGACCGAACACAAGCTCAGCTGAACTGAAACCCAGGGATTCCTGTTTAGTTCCTCTTACAGCAAACAATAACAAAGGTAATCTCTCTGCCCAGTCAAGGGCAGAGGGATTACCAAGTCAAGTCAATGATGTGTGCCTACTGTATAGAGAGTGGTAAGGACCACTCTCTATACAGTAGGCATCCATCATTGACTTTAGGGTCTGATGAAATCGCTCAAGGGCATCCTGCGACTCTGGGTGATATGAGCTTGATTCTGATGTTCCACACCTAACTCTTGTACTATCTGTTCAAAAACATGAGATGTGAAATTTGACCCTTGGTCTGTCTAAATGACTTTGGGTAGCCCAGATTTGAACAGAACTTGAAGAGTTCTTTTACTACTGCTTTAGTGTTGATGGAACGCAACGGTATGGACTCAGGATAACGGGTGGCTGTACACATAATAGTAAGAATGTATTGATAGCTGGACTTAGACTTGGGTAGTGGTCCCACACAATCAAGTCAAGTCAAGTCAAGTCATCTTTATTTATATATCGCTTTTAACAATACAGATTGTGTCAAAGCAACTGTACAGCATTAATTAGGAAAATAGTGTGTCAATAATGCAAAATGACAATAGTAAAGACTCAATTTTCAGTTAAAGGCAGTTCATCATTGA